TGTGTTGAGTCATGTGGCACAGAAGTGTCACATTTACTCTTTCTTAGCGGTGACCTTGAGACCTGAAAACCAGCCACCGGATGCTCAGGAGGGGACACAGGAGAAAACACCCAGTCCATCCTGAGCCCTCAGGCAGAGCAGGCCATCATACATTCAGTCAACCTTGATTTCTCCAACCTGACCTTGGGCCAGGCACCATGCTGGCACTGAGGAGCCGAAGCTGAACCAGACAGACAGGTCCCTTCCCCCAGGAAGCTGTGCTGGGGCAGGGTGGGGTAGGAGGTGTTGGATAGTTTACAAACAGCGTCATTGTGGGTGGTAATAAGTACTGAGTCCCAGCCAGAGGCTTGTTAGCTGGAACAGTCATAGCCTTTGTCAGTCCCCCAGCGTGGGTCCAACAGTTCTCACTCTTCAAACTGGCTAGTCCCACTCTCCCCACCCCCATTCCCACTCTTGCACATGGCCGGGAGAATTCCAGGACCAGAGCCTGGTGCACAACACACTTAATAAATAGGTCTTGATTGCCTGGATGGAGATGAACACTGTTTTCATAGAATAGTATAAAAATTGAAATCAGCTGCCCATATTATTGCCATCTTTGGCAAAGGTCCAGGAAGGCCCTGCAGATGCAACACTGCTGGGTTTTAAGCCACAAGATACACACACACACACACACACTCTCTCTCTCTCTTTCTCTTTCTCTCTCTCTCTCTGAGCATTTAAGACAGAGCTAAGACTTAAGCTGTGTCCAAGTTGTTAAACTTGGACACAGAACTGCCTGGGGTTTAACAGAAGCAGAAATCACGCTCAGCTTTCTTCTCCCAGCCTGTCCATTTGGGCATGTGCAACTAATTAGAAAGACAATCTTGATTTTCAAGTAGATTCAACACATCCAAGATAACCACAAAAAGAGAGCTTGTGAGAGAGATAGGTTGGCTTCTAATGACCAGCAACCACCTGCAGGCCTTGGCCCCATTACACCCTTTCCCACCTGCCCTGCTCTGCGGTCCTGTGAGCGCCTCCTAACGCAGCCCGCTATGCATGGCTTCCAGACTTGGCAGGAGGTGAGAAAGCCTCTGAGACCAACCAGGCTGTGACCTCATTTTTTGCTCTCACTCCTCCAATCGCTCCAAATGGTTATCTGGGCTGTCCCTCAACTTTGACCTCTGTGCACCTTTCTCCATCCATCATAGGTTTGCTGGTGACCACGGAGGGTTTGTGATGATGAATGAGTAAACCGGTGTTTATAAAGTGCCAAGTGAGTGAGTGCTGTAGTTTATGAACTGACTCTATCTCCTCCGGTCTCCCTAATCCTTTCTTGTTTTCCAAGCATCTCAGGCTGGAGGGACCACCCAGTTCTATCCAGCTCTGGAATGCCCCTCAAAGTTCTCTACATCTGCCCCCATCACCCGAGAGCTCTTCCCAACTCCTCCCTGTGTCTCCCTCCTGTTTTTCAAAGGGCTGTTGTTTTTCTTAATATTGCTTTACCCCTCCCCAAAAGACAGTTACACAAGTAGATGTGGGAGGAAGCTAAAAAACATAAGTCAACGATGACTAAGTCTGCCTAGCTCCCTCATCGCTGGAATATTGTCAGAATCGGCTCTCTCTCACCCCTGCCTCTGTAAAAATCCTTTGCCGAGGGTGTGATTTTTTCCTGAAGATCATTCTTTCCACATGACCAAATGTTGTCATGCATAACTAGTCCAGAGCATTTCTTTCTGCCCAAATCCGTGCTTGGGGCACAGCACTCAGGGTCACTCAGAAGTGATTTTTCCCTAATGGACAGGCAGATGGGTGGTTCCTGGAAGTTTCACTAGCAATCAGGGATGATCAGTTATCCTAGAGTTTTCTTCCCCCGACTACTTCTCTGGTTTCTGAATAAGTGCTTTTCCTGAAGTCCAATGACCTCAGAAGGAAAGAGTTCAAATAAAATCCAGCATGCATCTCCAGCTTTGGAGCAGACAACAAGGCCTCTGAAATGAGACAGACACCAAGCAGCCTGAGCTCCTGCTCCACAGTCCCAGAGTCTCAGACCCCTCAACCCCTGAACACTAGTGACGCAATCAGCCCAAGAGGTGTTAAAAGGGCTCGCCCATTGGGCAGCACTTCCTGAGCTCTGTCTGAGCATAAGAGCCACAAGGTCTGGGCATTCTGCTCCTCTTTTACAAGATGCAATAGGTAATGAACAGGAATTCCCCCAACTGTGAATCACGGAGCCTGCCCTGCCTCCAGAGGGCTGTGTTCACACAAGCCAAATGGGCAATTGACCAGAGCATTTAATACTTAAGAGTCTGTGTGAATAATCCAAACCAAAATCCCAGGTTTTTTACATACATGTAAATTGTTCTTCACAAAGGCAAACCCTAACCTAATCCCTTCACTGCTAAAAAGTTGGCTCCCAGAAACAAAACATTTCATAATAAAGGCAGCCCTATTTCATGCAGACCCATTATGAATCATAGGTTGGGGCAAATTGAGGTCTATCAGATTTTAAGTAATTAACTGCCTAAAAAAGAAAGCTTAGAATTTGCAAACCCAAGCATTTGCAGGCATAATTTTTAAAGTTTCGATCTATACCATGTCCCCAGGTTTTTGCATTCAATAAAAACCCAACTATTTTGCCTCTGATGAGTCCTTGAAGAAAACACATGGGAGATACAGAAACTTAGCTCTTAAAAGTAGCTGGACCAAATTGTCCAAGACCAACAGAAACTTAATTCCAAACTTAAAAAAAAAACAAAATCACATCATTTAAGCTGAATATCTTTATTGGACTCAGAAACAGTCCAACTCATTTCTCAAAAATAAGTTGATGAAAATTTCATATTTTCTGAACCCTGAAGAGTTTTTTTCTCAATTTTATTCTTTTTAAAATGCCTTTTAAATTAATTATCAGTTCAGTTCAGTCTCTCAGTTGTGTCTGACTCTTTGAGACCCCATGAATTGCAGCACGCCAGGCCTTCCTGTCCATCACCAGCTCCCGGAGTTTACTCAAACTCATGTCCATCCAGTCAGTGATGCCTTCCAACCATCTCATCCTCTGTCATCCCCTTCTCCTCCCATCTTCAATCTTTCCTAGTATCAGGGTCTTTTCAAATGAGTCAGTTCTTTGCATCAGGTGGCCAAAGTACTGGAGTTTCAGCTTCAGCATCAGTCCTTCCAATGAATATTCAGGACTAATTTCCTTTAGGATTGACTGGTTGGATCTCCTTGCAGTCCAAGGGACTTTCAAGAGTCTTCTCCAACACCACAGTTCAAAAGCATCAACTCTTCAGCACTCAGCTTTCTTTATAGTCCAACTCTCACAGCCATACATGACTACTGGAAAAACCATAGCTTTGACTAGATGGACCTTTGTTGGCAAAGTAACGGCTCTGCTTTTTAATATGGTGTCTAGGTTGGTCATAGCTTTTCTTCCAAGGAGCAAGTGTCTTTTAATTTCATGGCTGCAGTCACCATCTACAGTGATTTTGGAGCCCCCCAAAATTAATTCCAGCAATATCCTTTTTTTTTTTTAAGGAAAGCATTTTTTTTTTAAAGTCATTGAATTTGTTTCAACACTGCTTCTGTTTTCTGTTTTGGTTTTTTGGCCCGGAGGCATGTGGGGTCTTAGCTCCCTGATAAGGAATGAACCCATACTTTGGAAGTGCAGAGTCTTAACCCCTGGACCGCCAGGGTAGTCCCAGCAATATTCTTAAACTGTGGGAAATCGACAAATATCAATTGAGGATCTGTTCTGTGGGAATCAGTCTGTAACAGCTCGCTGGTTTTACATTCTCAAGGGCTGTTTCCAGAGCACTGGTTTTTTTAAGGCCATAAGCCCATCTCTTCTCTGGGGGAAGCTGTTTCTGCAGAGTCTTGAGAATGATCCTAACATTTTAGAGAATAAGCGCAAAGCACAGTATTCTCAAACTTCATGTAGCCAAACGCCCCTGGGTGTCTGTTAAAATGTAGATTTCTGGGTCCCACTCCAGAGATCAGTTTTGTTTTTCTGGATTGGAGCCTGGAAATTGGTATTATCAACCAGACCCTCTCCTCCCCTGCAGGAGTCCCGATGCTGGAAGTCCTCTTCAGTTTTAAGGTGACAGACAAGACCACAGAGAGAAATTCTCTCTCTGGCCTCTTCCTGACACCCCTTGAGCCTTGGGAGAGGACACTTCTCTGGGGTCCCCACTGAAATGGCAACATCAAGATCTCCCTGCCAGCTCCCCTAAAATAAAGTCACAGACCACCGCATGGCCCGGGAGCTATTCTGCCAAGTCATTCATGTATGTGCTGACCCGCGGGGAGAGGACCAGGCCCTTCTCGCTTGCTCTCTCCCCCTGTCTCCGAGGACCTCTCAAGACTGAGGCCCAGCGCCATCTCCCTCGCAGCTGCTGGTCCATCCCTTTCCAAAAGATGCGGCGGCTCCACCTGCGGGTACATCTACACAGGGTATCCTGCACACCGGGTCCACCTTCTTCATTAGCCCCGCAGCCCTCATGGGGAGCGCCAGTGTGTAACATCGAGTGGTCTCCATGGCAACCGACAGGGTGTCACGCCGACACGAGATTACGACCTCACGGCGTGGGGATTCCAGAGAAGGGGTTGGGGACGGCGCCCCCCTGAGTCCCAGACCCACGCCCAAACTGCAGGGAAGGACCCCCCACTTCCTTCCCGCCTCGATCGCCTGACCCCTCCCGCTCCGTTGGCACAGTGAGGACGGAGAGCGGGGTATGGGTTTCCACGGCGTCCCCCAACCCGACGGGGGGGGCGGGGTATGGTGGCGGGCCCGCGCCCCCGGCACACACGAGCCTCTGCGAGCGAGCTGGAGCAGGCGCGGGCTGCGCTGGGCCAGGATCGGGGGCGGGAGCGGGCGGGCCCCGCGAGGGGCGTAAGTCCCACCTTCGGGGGCGGTGCCTGGCGGTGGGGAGTGTCAGGAAGAGGAAGAGCTCGGCCAGAGGCTGTGCGGGCGCGCGACGAGCAGACATCGGGCCGAGGCGAGCTCCGCGCGGGCCACCATGGCCACGGACGAGCTGGCCAGCAAGCTGAGCCGGCGGCTGCAGATGGAGGGCGAGGTCGGCGGCGAGGCCCCGGAGCAGCCCGGGCTGAACGGGGCGGCGGCGGCGGCGGCGGGAGCGCCCGACGAAACGGCCGAGGCGCTGGGCAGCGCGGACGAAGAGCTGAGCGCCAAGCTGCTGCGGCGCGCCGACCTCAACCAGGGCATCGGCGAGCCCCAGTCACCCAGCCGCCGCGTCTTCAACCCCTACACTGAGTTCAAGGAGTTCTCCAGGAAGCAGATCAAGGACATGGAGAAGATGTTCAAGGAGTGAGTGCCCGCCCGACCCTGTCCCCCACCCACCCCGCGAGCCGGCCTCGGCTCCTGAGCCCCCGAACCCCGGACCCCGCGCGGTCCCGTGACCCATGCGGCCAGCCGAGCTCCCCGATCCCCGACACATTAGGGGCGAGGACCCCAGATCCCTTCCAGCTAGTCACGAGGCTCCGGGACCTCCTCCCCACCACGCTTATGGGTCTGGGGACCCGCGGCCCCTGGCACGGGACCCCTTCTCACGGTGACGCTGCCCCCGGTACCCCACCCGCGCGCTCACGGAGTGGGGGACCCCGCGGCTCCTTCTAGAGAAGCGTGAGCCCCCATTGCTGCCATTCGCGTGGGTCTGGAGAGCTCGGATCTCTGGCCTAGGACCCCTGTCTTGTTAGTGATGCTTCTCCACACCCGCGCACTACGAGACTGGGGACCCCGTGGCCTCTGCGTCCTCCTCCTCAGCTACTTGAATTCCCAACCAACCCCCACCCCAAACGCGGGTCAGAAACACCCACCCCACCCTCCAGCGCCTCAACAAAGGTGACCGTTCCTTTCACTGGCTGGGGCTCTTTCATTTTTTCCGCTTATCTCACATCCCCCTCAACGTGGGTTCTGGGCCGAGACCCCTCCCCCACTTTCCCTGCACTTATTCAACATCTACCAGCAAACTGTGTCAGAGACCCTTCAGTCCCTCTCACCTCTACCCCCATCCACTCCTTTAGCCAGGACCCCAACCCTTGACCCTCAGGTGATCTCCCTAGGGAGGGACCCCTTCCTCCCTGCCCCCTACTCCGCTGGTCTGTACAAACCCCACCACCAATCGCCTGGTCGGGACTGTCCCCTCCTCCCTCTCCAGACTGGGCTCTCTCCTCTTGCCCTCACCACCCTGAAGCTTAGAAGTCACTGGCCCCCTGCTTTCTGTCAGAAGGCCCCATCTCTCCTTTCCCCTCTCCCCCCACTGTGTGCCCCCTTCTCTCCCCGCAGAGGGTCACCTCCTATCTGACTTGGCTGGTGGCTCTCACCTCAGCCCTTCCTCCATCCCTTTTTCCACACCCCATGCCCTCAGCAGGTTGGACAGGTACTTTGAGGCCTCTGGACTTACCCCTCCCCCAACAAAAAAAACTTTAAATTTCTTAAATGACTGGAGAGAAAAACTTCCTGATCCCCTTTGGGTCCACCCCTGGGTTCACCCTCTTGGGACTGAGATGGTCAGATGCACTGCCCCCCAGCAGTGTGGGGGTTAGGGTGGGGTGGGGGGCTGTGAAGGTGCTCAACCCCCCTCCCTTTGATACTCTTCCCCACGCACCTCCTGTTGACCATCGCCCCTGCCCCTGGAGGGGAAAACAGCCCCGGGGGTGTGATCTGGAATAGGTCTGGGAATGGATCCAAAAAGGTAGACCCGTCCAGAGGTCAAGTCTTAGGTGAGGAAGTCAGGAGGTCTGGCAGCCACCTTGGCTGGGGCAGGAGGTGGGGGCAGGCTGGGGCAGTGTGACCCAGAGGCAAGCAGGAAGCCCAGGATGTTTTGCAACCCCCCAGTTTGAGAAAGGCTCTTTCCCACTTCTCACTGCTTGCTGTGGCTGCTGCTTCTGCATTTGACCCCCATTGTAGGGAAGAGGTTTTTTGGTTCTCAGACCTGGATGGCTGGGAACCCCATACTTTTTTCCAAGGGTCAGCCTGGGGCAGAACTGAGTCCTTAACCCCACCCCAGGCCTCTGCACGGACACCCCTGGTCCCTGAGGAGTCTGCTCCTTTGCCTGCAGGGTCTTGGTTTAGGAGATCTTCTCAAGTTTTATCATGATCGAAGACTGGCCTTATCAGAAGCGCAGGAGTTCCAGGATTCCAGACCCAATAGAGGGCAGCTTCCTTGTAGACTCTGCCGCCCCCTCCCACCCCCACACAGGGAAGTACAGGAGAGATTATTCAGCTGCTTGATCCCTGTATTCACACTGCCCAGGGACCAAGGAGCTCCTCCATTCCTCCCAGCACCCCATGACATAGAACTGTCATCACCACTGTGGCGCAGTTGAGCAGTCTGGGCACAGAGAAGTGAAGTAATTTGCCAAGAACACACAGCTAGAAAATGATGGAGTCAGGCTCTAAACCCAGGCCTGTGACTCCAGAATTCATGTTCTTCCCTCCTGGGTTTCCCATCACAGATGTCTGCCTCCAAGTGGGAAAGATCACCCAGCACCCCCTTCCATATTCATGACTGATTTTCCCCCACATGGACCCACCACCTCCTTCTCTTGGGCTTCCATGACATCCCTTCTACCCCCACGAAAAATAAAAAGAAGGAACAGTTTGGAGAACCCAGACACACCAAATGAGCAGGGACTTGGGATTGCTTCTCTGGTGACTAAGACAGTAAAGAATCTGCCTGCAATGCAGGAGACCTGGGTTTGATCCCTGGGTCGGGGAGATCCCCTGGAGAAGGGCCTTGCTACCCACTCCCAATATTCTTGCCTGGAGAATCCCATAAACAGAGGAGCCTGGTGGGCTACAGTCAATGGGGTCACAAAGAGTCGGACATGACTGAGCGACTAACACTTTCACTAAATGGGAAGCTGCAGCTTGGTTAGAAGGAGCACATGGCTTGGGGAGTGGTCTTGAACCTGCGTTTGCAGAACAAGCTCACTTTTTTACGGAGGCTGTTTTTGGTGTAAGTTTGACGAGGGATACTTTGGTGAAAATTGAGCGGAGCTAACCCCTGGAGCCCCCTCTTGGCACCACTGCTGCTTGATGGGGTGCTGCTTGGAAGGGATGGAGTGGGGGGTGCAGGAAGGGGCCAGGGAGCTGGACTTCTAGGGAAGGAAGTGCCGCCCACCGGGGGGCCCTGGAGAGGAGGGAAGGCGGCAGATTTTGTATTCAAGGAAACAAGGCTTCACTGTGCCAGCCGAGCCCAGCCCAGCCGAGTCCCGGCTGTGAACAGCCAACAGACAGGCTCTCATGGAAGACAAAACCCCCGTTCTGCTTCTGCCATCCAAGAGGGGCTGCAGCCTCCTGGGTCCAAGCAGGGCTGGAGGATCACAGCCAGGGCTTTGCCGAGAGACTTCCACCCTGATCTGCAGCCCCCATGGCAGAGGGGAGAGGAGCCCAGGCCTCCTAGAAAACCGTCCCCCAAATCAGTGTGCAAGAGACGGGAGAGAGCAGAGGGAACTGGGAGCTGGACTTGCCTTGGAGGTCAGGAGCTAGGAAGTGGGGCTTTGCTATTGAATTACCTAGTATGCCTGCCCTTCCCCTGGCCTCAGTCTTCCCATCTGTAAAAGGAGCACAATGACAGATGATTCTCAAAGATGATTCAGCAGTGACCTCCTTATGTCTGAGCAATCCTGAGCTGTCTGGATGACAAAACTGCCTTCTGGGGTCTTCCAGTTCATCCATTCAGTAGTCATCAGCAGATTCTTCCTCAGGGTGGAGATGGAGGGAGAAGAAAGGGGGCAGAGGGAAGATGGACAGGCTCTCTACTATCACTGACCTTACACTCCTGGTAGTTTCCATCTGGGAGAGACCTTGGGGGGGGTCGTCATCAACCTTTCTCCCCATTTTACAGAAGAGAAAACTGAGGCCCAGGAAGGTGTAGTGACTTTCATGGGGAGATTTTCAATGACTGAACCAGAGCATCCTTATCTATACAATGGGGACAGTGGTCCCTGCTTCTCAGGGAGGGGCTGCAGGCAGGTGATGCACTCAGAGCTCTGGCACAGTGCCAGGCACCTGGAGGCACCTCGACTCTCAATCCTTCCTCCCCTTGCTGCCTCAGGTTGCTCCCATCACCTCTAATTCCACCCTCTCCCATCCTCTGTCTGCTCATTCATTTAGGGTCCTGCCTGGGTCGGGAAGACCTCCCTGGAGAAGGAAAGGGCAACCCACTCCAGTATTCTTGCCTGGATAATTCCATGGACAGAGGAGCCTGACAGGCTACAGTCCACAGGGTCTAGGATAGCAAAGAATCAGACTGAGTGACTAATGCTGGAGACCTCCAGGCAAGGGCCAGGGGTGTGGCCCCAGAGGGCCTCAAGGCAGCCACCTCTGGGCTGGCAACAGCCTGGGGCTGTTGCCTGGGTCTCTGTAGGGTTTTGTAAGCTGAGACCTGCCAGAGAGGCAGGCAGCCATGTAATTCTGAACCTGCTGTGGAATCCGAGGAAGATGCCCTAGTTCCCTGCCCGGCCCAGCCTCGTCCCCAGCCACTTGTCTCATGACCCCTGCGTCAGAACAGCCAGTGCCCCTCTCTTCTCCCCACCCTGCCCTCCCCTCCACCTGCTCCACCCCCCTGGTGTCTCCTCAGGTTTTGCAGCTCACAGCACCACCCTGCGCCCCCCTCCCCGCCCCCCAGCACAGCCCCCTTGTCCTTTCTGGGAGACCATCTGGTGCAGTGGTTAAGCGCTGGGCCTTTGGAGTGTGCTACCCTGGGTTGGAATCCCAGCTGTGGGCCCTGGGGCAAGACACCTAAACCCTTCTGAGCCTCACTTCCTCACCCTAGAACAGGGAGAACAATAGCCCCCACCTCCCAGGGTTGTTATGAAGTGTTTAACCCTGGGCTTGGCACAGAATAAGTCCTCACCAAGTTCCTGTCACTACCATCCCCAGCCCTGGCAGTGGTGGCTGGCGCAGAGATGGCTCCAAAAGGCCACTGGCTGCCTCCACTTACCCCCCACGGAGCTGCCCAGCCTGCCAGGCTGGCAACAGCCCTCTTGCTTTGGGCCCGAGTGACGGGCCTCAGCATAAGAACCTTCTTTCCCTCCTGTGGAACAGAAGCTTTGATTGACAGCTACATGTGGCTCTGGTAAATAACAAAAATGGGGACTCGAATTCATTATCACTTAATTACGTGGAAGGCAGGTGGCAGGGAAAAGGGAAGAGCACCCAGCAGCCCAGGGATGACACAAAACTAGGACTCTAGTTGGCTCCCGTGTGCCATTGCCCAGCAGGTGGGTACTCCAAAGTTTCTCAGAGTCTGTTTCCCCTGGGGCTAGAGAACCTGCCCTGGAAAGTCCTGAGGATTAAGT